ATGAATGGGCGATACACCAATGGCTTCGTACTCGATAAAATACTCGTGTAATTAAATGCGAGGCGGCGGCATTTGTTTCGCTCTCCCCCTCCTATATCGATTTTTCGAAATTCGCGCCCTGCGTTTCCACTCTGGAAAGCCGATCGACGATTTTGGTTATTGGTTATCCGTTTATCCGTTGTTGGACGGAGGGAAATTGTACGGGCAAAGCAAAGGCGGTCGGCTCGCGGTTCGGTAAACACTAAACACTCGTTAGGGTGTATGGATTGAAACGCAATCTGTATTCGCTGTGGCTACCTTGAGGGGGAAGCGGGAGGAGAAAAGGAGACGGAAAGGCCTCGTGGTGGTAACTCGTTACGCGGAGGGAAGGAGGGGTTGCGAGGAAGAGGGTAGTTCTGGTGGCCAGAAGAGCCCGAGGCCCCCCCACTAATTGATTTGTGCTTCGCCGGCCCCTAGCTGCCATAACCTTTCTCCTCGCCCCTTGTTTCACCTCCTCTTCCAGCTACCCATTCGCCAAGATTCGAACGCGCGATACGTCTTTACGATACGTCGTTTCAATAAAACATATTTTCCACGTTCGATTTTTCAGAATAATTTTTCAGCGTAATACGTTTTTTTTTTTTTTTTTTTTGCGTCGAGTACAACAAATAAACGGATTCTCAGAAATAAATAATTCTTTGGCGCGCGTGTGCAGGCGAGCGTCGTTCGAGAAGCTTGGTAATTATATTCGCCGTTAATTACACGGACGAACGATGCCTTCGAGTACTACGTAGCTCGAGGTGAAAAGCGACCCTTTGTCGCGGCCCCGAGCTGTCCACTTTGCTCTCGCCCGGCATTTTTCTGACTTTACGTAATATCCTGAGCGAGGCCGGCCTAATGCAAACAAGCTGCCGTGAACCGTGCGCCTCCTTTGCGATCACACACGTGTCCCCTTTCCTCGTGTCTGTGACCGCGTGAGCGCGTTCGCAATGGTGTACAGTTACACGAATCTGGATATATGTGTCTCGACCGAGTGCATGAATATGTACTTTCGAGCGAGGAAGGGCGACGTTCGTATCGCGTTAGAGAGATGGGATAATTACGAGTGTTGCTATTTCCTTTTTCTCTCTTTCGCCGGCTAACGATCTTTCTCGACCTCGGGAATCCTTATCTTTATTGTCGTACCCGTAACCTGAGAACTCGTTCGACCGACCGAATATTCCGTTTCCATTCCAATACGGGCACAAAATTTGACATTTGGCGACGAACAATGGTTGCCTTTCCATCGACTTCGTTCAACACCGTTTAATTGTATCGGACGTCAATACGAGAACGCCTTCGAAACGATTCTCTCGCTATAATTGAAACATCTGTTGAGGCGTTCGAATGAAACGTAACGTTTGTCCAAGGAAACGTTTCGACGTTTATTCGTACATAGGGAGCGTTGATGCGGTTTAAAGAAAAAGAAAGAAACTATCGTACGATACGATTCGATGGAAGGAGAGTTCGTAAATCGGAGATACGAAGAGGAGGGGGGGGGAGGGAGAAATGTTTACAACTTATCCAACTGCAATAATGTAAGCGTATGGTATAAGCTTATAGCGAGATATTTAGCCGCGTATCGTGGCGCCACACCACCCAGGGGACCCTCTCATTATTCGCTGCCAGGATGAGCCTTTATTAGCAGTTATCCTGTTCGGTCTCGAATCTATACGTTCACATATCCATAAATTTGCGTTTACGGTGACCGTATCTTATGCAAATGAGACGATTTAATCCGTCGGATATTTCAGGGCATTTTTTAATAACCCTTTCTCCTTTACCCCCTCCCTTCTCCTCCTCCCCTCGTCTCGCCGAGATATTCGCCGATCGCTTCGATCGTTCGTTCGTCAGAACGATCAATTAGCGGCGATTCATCGTCCTGCCTCTTCAATCTCGTTGCCAACAGTTTTCGGGAATGCCAGAAGCCAGAGCCGTTTATAGGTTAGATTTCCTCGTCCACGGAAAATTCCTCGATTTGATAATCTCTCGCTTATCGAATTTCAAATTTCTCCTCGTTCGGATACAATTGATGAATAAATATCTATTTTAAAATTAGGTAACAGTCGATAATGAAGTCATCAAACCGACAACGATTCACTTCGAGGAACTTTATTATATACAGAGTTTGGATCTCGATATATCGAAATTTCGAGATCGAGTATATTTTCGCGGAATAAGAAGTCCTCGATAAGATCGAAAAAAAAAAGAAGAAGAAGAAAGGAAAAGGAAATGTCCCGAGATCATCGCGCGGATGGATCGAAAGCGAATGGGTTCGAAAGCAGCAATTTCGCCCGATGTTTCGAGCCGGCAAAGTGCGATAATAAGCCCGCGGGCAGTCGGTGAGAATCTGCAATTCGCTCCGCTCAAATTGAATACTCCGTAGGCAGAATCTGGACTCTCCGTCGAGGGTTAAACCTAAGATCACCGATCCGTGATATAGTTTGGGCTTTGTACCCGCTCTCTCTCTCTCCCTCTCTCTCTCTCTCTCTCTCTCTCTGTACAAACGTTCCGTTCGCTCGGTTCGACATGGAATGTCGTTTAACCGCGGGAACGATACACGAAACAGGATATTCGCGACACGAAAAGTGCGTATCATCGTATCAACGATTTAATTCGAGAAATTCGAATATCGTAATATTGGAATATTTGTACAAGTGGATAAGCGTTAGATGCGTCGGTTGCGCGAAGAGAGGTAAATAGTCGCGATGTCTCAATCCTCGGAGATAATTGACACGGATACACACCGATAGACCGTTTCTCAGAAAACGTATCTTGTTTTCCTTTCCTTTCCCTTCGTATCATTACGGGGAAGCGCTAATGCGGAGAATATCCACGGGCTGCCAGCAGTTACAGTCACTTCTCGCGCACGGAAAAGCTTCGTTAAGCGCGAAATTGCCGGTCGCGTCGCCCGCTACGCTTAAGATTATAACCGTACGAACGGTTATAATATCGTTCGACGAGCCACCTTAACGAAACACGCGATTAGTATTTCGCTATCAGGGGATCTTTAATAGCCTCTTTTTTTCCTTTTCCTTTTCCTTTTTTTTTTTTTTCACGCCGAGCGTAATACCCCGGCACGTGCCTCGTTACACCACCTCTCGCGGTGAGA